AAAGGGTTGAAAATATAAACAAGGGGTGGTGTAGAAGTCATTAGTTGGTTATATCTTAATAGGCCAAGGTAGGGATAATGGCTGTAAAAACTTCTTTTGAATGCATAGCTTAGGTTTAATAGTTCGAATGTCTATCGCCTCAGCTGTGTGCAGTAAACGAATTAAAGTTTATTGGAAAGATTCAGTGGGATACGCTGAATTATTTTGAAAGCTCCCGTTTTCTCCACTACATGACCACTATCAATTAAATGTGAAGAAATTGAGCTACGGATTGTTTTTGTCTGCCCTTTGCCAAACCACGATGGGAGATGTTCACTAACACGTTGGCTAAGCTGTCTAGTTGTAGACAGTAAGTTGTAGACAATAAGAAAAAATATATGTACGACGAGTATTGAATTAAATCTTTAACAAGACTGTTTTCATTAAACAGTAGTGATGTGTCTAATCCTTTCTTTGTTGCAGACTGAATTCTGTCAGTCAGGTTTGCAATGTGGCCACCATTCTAAGTAGCTCGCCATCATGGTGCACATTGATTTGATGGTATTACATGGTTAGAGGCAATCGGTACGAAGCCTTGGAAGTAGATTTCGTGCATGTTGGCACTCACCAGTCAGCAAAGCGTATCTGCAACCTTGAAGGAACTCATGTTCCTTCTGAGATTCAAACCCACGTCACCCAGTCGTGCAGTCAGAGACGTTACCACCTCCTTTAGGACTGCACTGGATACTTTTGGTTGGACACTAGTAACACGTGTGATGTGTCTAGTCCTTTCTTTGGGGCCAACTGAATTCTATTTCCTGTCTAAATAGGTATTCAATAAAATGAACCAAAGCGTTTCACATAACTGTCATATATTTTCCAGCACTGTTTTGAGTTCTGACCGGAACACAAGATTTCAAGCTAGAGCTTTGAAGTCATAGCCAAGGTAGTGACTTATTATTTGGTGGTATCACTAGGTTCACGCCCAACCTGCCGTCTTCATCAGACTTACTATTGGCTGAACGAGGCTTAGGAGTATGTCAGCCGGGAATCGAACCCAAACCACATTTTCAGTTGGCGAGCATTCTACCAATGAGATGAATACGCCTTTCATTATCCAGCTATATATAGCACAGATTATTCAGAAAAAGTTGAGGCTTTTTATAGACAAGATTAGTCACTTTGTAGAAGTGGTTTAGAATTTTTGGGTTAACGAAATGGTATATTTTTACCTTCTGTCCTTTTCATGAGAGACCAGTGTATATTCGTAATGATAATACTGCCACCAAAGACTAATTATAGCGTTATATACAATCACGATAACTGCGTAATCATTCAGCTGCAGTGAAATATGCTGTCTTGATGACTTGAAATGGGACATTATTTCTTTTATACATGCAACCGATTTCAGTGATCGGTTTTTCAAGTTTACCTTCAATAAGTTATCAATAGAAGTGTGCATTTTCTTTGTACTCTAGAAAAATCTTACTACAGCTTTTTGATACATGAAACTAACGTACCTCTTCTGCTTACTATTAATCATTAGCCGTTGTTTGTCTTTCCAACATATTTTTGGTCATTTGAATCACTTAGCTCGATTGCATATTGGATATAGAGTTTAAACTCAAAACCTTGCGATTATAAGTCAAGCTCCTAGACCACCTAGTCACTGGAATCCAAGTCAATAGCCAATGAATTCCAGCTTATACCAGTTTGTGAATTTAGAGCAACCACCATTGAATATCATCGGTTAATGTTTTCCCTCACGCCTGGCCTGAAGGACCCAAATGGTCAAAACTTCGGGTCGGAACTCTAGGAAACTTCGTCCTGCAGTTGAAAAGTCTACGGGCTTGCTTTGTAACAAGGAGGCCCTTGGTTCGAACCTTGGTAGGTACGTAGTGCCGATGAGTCCTAAACTAGGACGAAACAGCTGGCCAGTACTCGAAGGGTTTAAGCGCTCCTCTAACTGACATCAGTCCGTGATCAAAAGTGAAACAAATCGAATCCCTACAAAATAACTCTTGCAGAATATCATCCTGTCAGTTTATCAGCACTAAAATGCCCAGATAGCCACAATTTGCTTTTCCGTTTGGTCTAAAATCTCTAAAAAGGCATTAAAATCAATCACCTGTATGGTTAAATCTGAGTATCTTGTTATTGTCAACATACCAAACAGTCTTCCATACAACTCATCCTTAATTTCATCCAAACTGCAGAAAACAGTGTACAAGCGGAGATTATGAAGAGGCATGAACAAGTATCCCAATCTTTCCTTATTCTTGTGGACTACATTCAGATAATACACAGTTGTGTGACTCTTATTCTAACATAAGATCGCCAGATACTAACTAGTCAAGCAGTAAAGGCCTTCTTACTACCATTCTCTTTGTCTGACACCTTATTTTTTGAAAGTATTAGAATTATTTCAGAATAGGAAAAAATACTTCATGATTTAGGGAAGTTATAAATGGAAAACTTGGACGCTGAAGTAGTTCATTATTAACACTAATGTTTAATGTGTCTGCCACTTTGATTGGTACAGACTGAATTCTATTAGTCAAAGTTTGCAGTATAACCATCATACTAGATGGCTTGCCATCACTCTGAATTGCTATAACTACATGGTTGAAGGCAGTCAGCAGAAAGTCTAGGTTTCGTGTCTGTTGGCCATCGTCAGCAAGGCATATCTGCTATCTTGAAGAAAATCATTTCCTTAAGGAGATTTGAACGCGTGTCGTCCAGTGCTACAGTCAGAGACGTTACCACTAAGGTAATCGGGCTCAGTGGCATGAAACCTAGGTCGCAGGCTTCCTGCTGATCACCTCCAACCGTCCAATAGTTCATATTTACCTAAATGAACTAACACCAATGAAATCTTTAATGTAGTGAAATGAAATGAAATCTTAAGTTCCTAGTTATAGTTCTAATGTGAATGTATATGTTTATTTCTTAATAATTGAAAGCAATTCTAACTAGAAGGAAATATGAAATAAAGGCAAACAAGAGGACCAATCAAAATCATGTAAAACTATTTTAGAGATAGGCAGTTTTGATCGATAAACATGCCTAATAATAGTAGTTAATATAAGTGATAGTCATTAGACAGATTGATAAAACTAATGTGATAACCATTTACAGTAACTCTTGTAACATAAATTAATAATTAATTTATTCAAAGCAGAATATGCTTCAACTTATTTACATATGGATTATGATAATTCGCGAACTGGACAATCGATGTAGGTTAATCATTGGCTTCAAAAACCCTCTATCTCTACATGCTCTTGCGAAATACTAAGTATCTATCTGAAGATATGCTCATAACTAATGAGATAATAAGTAGTAAGTCTTAAATGTGGGTGCTAATTCAGTCTCATCTCAGTATTGTTGAAGTTAAAGTTCCATACAGAAGAGCAACATGTCGGCTGGAGTTTAGAATACAGTCGCTAATAAATGCAGCTACAGAAAATAAGAAATCAAAACACCCATAGAAATTATCTTAACTACCAAGCTGAAAGGTCTTAGGCGAAGTTGAACTATAACAGCCAAAGACAAGGACCATCAAAACTTGACTTTTGACAGTCACTCAGATTGAGAGATTGTTAAGAAAAGTCATTCCAAATCAAATCATGTCTGCCTTTATGGATATGGTGAGTAAGTTCCATGAAAACTGAGTATTTGATTACTTTGTCAATAGCAGGTTGAGGAGAGTATGACAACAAGCCAACCCAGCCTTGCGAACAATAAATATTGCTATAGATTCTGTTTATGTTATGAGAGAAAATCTGTTCGTAAGGGTAGGTTCACTGTTGTACTTATTTCCTTGGACTTTTTTTCTGCAAGTCTAAACTTATCTTGTCAGATATCCCACGGCTCATGTTTGTAGGATTTTGAAAAGGCCTGTAAGGGCAGCAGCAGTGGAGACAGTACAATGGTGTCAGCATTGTTGAAACTCAGCATCAGGGAAATTAGAGAGGATTACCACTTGCCTAAGAAGAATAGGAGTTACCGTGCATGCTGACGAAACTGCTCTGATAAAGAAAGAGAGGAATTTTAGAGGAGACAGAAGGCCTCATCAAGTTTGGGTGCTGGGACTTTGTGATACTTTTGTGGTAACAATACCTAATTGAAGAATTTCCATATTAATTCCAATAATTCAGTGGTTAATCACGCCGGAAATGATAATACATAAGGATTAATGGAAGACATATAACAGGTTATTATCTTTAGATTTTATTCATCACCTTGACAATCACTAGTCCGACTTCGTGGATCCAACCACAGGTACCAACACAAAGTCTATTGAGGGATTTTAAGCTAAGTCAAAGAACAGAGTTAGCAATATCAACGGGTCTCATAGTACCATGATCTACAGTCAGCTAGATGGTACAATTTCCCTAAAATTTATCCTTGAAGAAACACATGAGAGGTCAGCATCCAGTGTATGTGATGATTTTTAATACATTTTTAACTTAGGGAATAAAAAGACAGTTGCAGCGAAGAGAATTTTCTTTTCGACGAAGTCATCATCTAGGCTGTACATTCGTGTATTTATATCAAATAGATGGGAAAGTTCCAGAATAATTTCTGGTTACGGGTTAAATTAATAAATATATGTAAATACACGAATGTACAGCCTAGATGATGACTTCGTCGAAAAGAAAATTTTCTTCGCTGCAACTGTCTTTTTATTCCCTATGATCAAATGTGTATATTCCGACATTTTTAACTGTCGTGACTCTTTTTGCATCTGAATTCTGATTGGCAGCTGAAGGCTACTGATGTTTCGGCTGCTATATTTTACCTTCGCTAGGTTTTATTATTCATTTTACAGAATCTTGATAACTATTAACATCTGTTGTCATGAAAGTGTACTTAAGTACTGCAGAAAACCTGTCAATGTCACCGTCTCGACTTTGACAACCGGCTCATGTGTCCATTTATTTCGCCTCTCAGTTGTAATCTCAATTTACAGATATGAGTTTCAAAAGTCTCAACCTAATCCATGAGTATTTATTATCAAATAAATAGCAATAATGAACAGCTTAAAAGAAAACCAAATAAAAGTCAATAAGATGTTGTGTGTGTGGATATCTCCATCTAATAAAGAAATAAGTAGTATAGTGTAATATAAGTAATATAGTTGGCCACCTGGAAAAATGTTTGCCATATTTAAAAAAGAAAGAAGGAAATTAATGTTAAAATCTGTTAAAATCTCTTTAAAAAATGTTTCTTTTTTTCATATATACAAGCATATCGAATAAAGAAATAGAAATATGTAAAGTGATGCTCAGAGAAAATGACCATGTGAACAAATTCAACGTTCATGGTTTTAGAAAATGCAAGATTCCAGTGAGTACATACACAGTTAAAATGCTCCAATTAAATTCTGTAAACGCATAGGAACTGTTATACTTGGATTCCATTCAGTGTGTACATCAATGGGTTATAACAAGAATTCAGCCTTTGCTTTCATTCGCAGAAGACGATTGTGTCGAAATGCAGTCTATTCCTAGAAACGAAATATTAACAAAGAAATTATACAATCGTTATTTACAGTAGGAAATTAACACTTGAAATTCCCTTTATATATTAGTCGACCTGAGAAATATCAGTACAAAACAATGAAGTTTGAATTTCAAGTGACCTGACCTATTAAAAATAAAACAACTTTTTATTGAAAAACCGAAAGTCCTAGCAATTTGTTTTTAGAGAATTTCATATTAAAAATAATTGCCTGAAATGGCTTCTGTAAGAACTTCTGTTTATTACTAGGTGCTTTTTGCTGTCGATATCCAATAATCAGACAATATTCTGCTGTTAAACTTCAGAAACATGTCAAGTTATTGAATGTCACACAAACTTGAAGATCTACGGGTGAAAGCCAGCAAGTTGGCAGGAGAGGCAGCAAGCAAAGACAGGACTTCAAGGGAACAAAGAGAAGATAAAGGTGATAAAAATACCCAAATGCAAACAATAAGCACCAATTATTATCAGTGTCAGAAATCTAAAGAAAGTCACCTCTTTCACTTATCTAGGGAACATCGTTTCAACCAGGGATGAAACAGATGAGAATATCAAAAGCACCATGGGAAAAGCAACACAGATTCTTATTCACCTGAAATCAGTGCGGAAATCTGCGCTACACTCAGCATAAGGAACAAGATCAGAATTCTTGACACTAATGTCATCAAGTCACTTCTTCCATATGGTTCAGAAACTTGACTAGTGAGCCATCATAAGCATTTCCAACAGCCAGTTGCATATTTTTATCAATAGCTACCTTTGCTTCATACGGAAGAACAGAGGACCAGCTGGATAGATTGATTGACAATAAACTCTGGCAGTGGACCAACCAACAAATATGCTGAAGGAAATTGTTGTAACGGAGTGTTAGTGTTTTGATGGTTGTTGTTTAACTTCGCGAGAATGAGCCTGCAGTAACGATACTGTGGCCATCCGATTATTTGGAAATATTCCTCACATTGGGATATACACAAAAGTCAGATATAACTGAGATAACGGTGACAACAACAACAACTTTATTATCCACTACACAGAGTAAAATATCCTTTGCGCACCGACAGTCTGACTGATTGTATCAATCATAAGTATACGGTCAACAACGATATGTTGTATGTCCTAACAGAAATTGAGAGGGATTAGACATACGCTGAGGAAACTGTTGACCGACATCATGTGCCAATTCATCCACTGAAAAGTGGATAGGAAATGACGAGATAGTCTGGAGTCCGAGGATGACACATAGGAGATCGTGTGAGGAGCAGACTTAAGAAGCCTTCAAAAAATGGAATGTAATATAAATGTGCTGTTGAAGCCCTATCTTCGACGCAAAACTTGTGGATTTCGTCAGACTACCGAACGTTTACACAATTTCCAGGAAATATCATCTGTACAAGATGAAAACAGCTTGGTTTAACAACAAATCGAGTTGATGATATTAGATGGTTGGAGGCAACCGGTCACAGGAAGCCTTCGACCTAGGCTTCGTGCTAGTTGTCACTCACCAGTCAACAAGGCGTGTCTGCAACCTCGAAGAAGCTCATGTCCTTTCTGAGATCCGAACCCGCATCACCCAGTGCTGCAGTCAGAGATGTTACCACTGAGCTGTTTGGGCTCTGCTTTGAATCTCAGAAGGGAAATGTATTCCTTCAACGTAGCAAATACACATTGCTGATTGGTGAGTGCCAACTAGCACGAAACCTAGGACAAACAAGGCTTCCTGTGGCCGGTGGCATCCAACCATCTAATATCATCAATTCAATGTGAACCGTGATGGCGAGCTACCTAGAATGGTGGCCACATTGCAAACCTGACTGATAGAATTCAGTCTGCACATCAAACTAGTAACTAGTGTCCAATCAAACAAATCGAGTTGTTAGTAATACGTCCAAAGTATGTTTAAGTGGCCTCATTAAACTTTGAAAGTGCCAGCATTTCCTCAACTGACGGGAGAGATAACTACTGAGTATCGGAGGAAACAGTGTAATTTGAGAAAACAATATTTCGGACTAAAACGTCAAGACGGGACAGTGAAACAAGTGAAGAAAATATTCACCAAAAATCGATTAAAAAGCATATCATAATTGTTTTCTAATGGCTCACAGTCAAGCTAAATGACAGTGACAATGAAAATATAATCGAACGAAAGTTTACCTAAAAAAATCAACATCCACTCGAAGAAAGGCTTTATCACCTGAGATAAGTGAATGAAAATCAGTTGAGCCAGCGAATTATTGAAAAGATGATACACAACAATAAATGTACCAGCAATCCGATCGTCAAAACAACAAAAAAACATCTTAAATCTTAAGGAATAATTTGATATGAATGCTTTCTACAAGTTGACATACTACGACTAAAATGGAACACTATCCGTCTTAATGCTCCTTCTCTTAGTTGGATTCTTTTCAATAAAACCTGTAACTTGAAGCATGCTGTTATCTAATTATATTCATCCCACAATTTTCAACGTTTTAAATGAATGTCTAGTCAAATTCAGGTGAGAAGAAGTTTATATAACTGCTGGAGAAACTAAATGAAAATGTTTAAGAAACAAAATAACTGGGCAAAGAATATCCCTTTCGATAATTTCCTCTTCTGGGTCTACAGGTATATATATATGCTTACATATGTAGAATATTCTAGAATAGTAGTCAATAACAGTATCAGTGTTGTTAAATAATATCGATTTGTTACGTAAGATCAGTGGAATTACAGTTCATTAAAGATGCCTAAATTATAATGATAGTAAAAATATAATAGCAAATAGAATATCAACTAAAATTAAGAAACTTTCTACGAAAAGTTGAGGATCATTCAAACCTAGATGGCCAAGGTAAGGATAATGTCTGAACTAGCTTCTTTTGGACTCACAAATTAGGCTTCTTACTATGGATCCCAACGGCCTCAGAAACATTTATTAATCGAACTCTTAAGGCGGAGTTAAGATTTGTTGGTATGCGGTAAATGACTTTGAAAGCCTTCTCGTTAACATCAATCTTGTGTTCTGTATCCACAAGATGAGATAGAATAGCGCTACGAATAGATTTTGTTTTATCTTTCCTTAACCACGCAGGGTGATTTTCGTAAATCTGACGAGAAACACGCCTAATTGTACGGCCTACGTAAATGACTCCACAGGAGTAGTTTGTCTTTTAAGACACAGAGTAATTCGGCAGCAGGGAATGCTCTTTTTACCACATTCCTAAGGCGTTGTGTTAGTATCTCGCTGATGTTTTCCCCGAGGAACTGAATTTGCAAGAATAAGGCCTTTTTAGGAACTGTTGGTACCTTGGGCTACCTTGATTTTTGAATCATATTCTTATCAGTAAACTTCTCTGGATAACCATTTTCACTCAACAACCGCTTAATATTATTAAGTTTCTCATCACAACATTGATCCGAGCAGATTGCTCTTCTTCCGTGAACCAAGTACTTCATCAGATTGCGTTTGTATTTCAAGGGCACGAAGCTAAAAAATGAGTATACTGGTCAATTGATGTAGGTTTTCTATATATACTTCGTCTTATTGTCCCATCCTATTTTCTGACCATGAGGACGTCTAGAAATGAAATAGTGGAGTCTTTCTCTTTCCTAATGGTAAAAATCTATTGCAGGGTGAACCTCGCTAAATTTATCCAAGATGTTCTTTGCTTCATCCTCATTTCTCATAATCTTACTTTACAAATCGATATTATTTAAAAAACACTAATATTGTTATTGACTACTATTCTAGAATATTCTATGTATATAAACATATATATATAATTGTAGATCCAGAAGAGGAAATTATCGAAAAGTATATTCTTTGCTCAATTATTTTGCTTTTTATAGATGTCTGAATTGATATTTTCGCTATAATGATTGAAAATGAACACATCAGAAATATATGCGTCATAACTACCTTTGATTACACTGAATACATATACTACAAAGAAATTCCGACAGAATCAATACATCGCTGATGTATAGAGAATATTTTTTAGTCAGGTGGATGATTTCAACGTGGTTGTATTCTGTGAGCTGGATAGTCTAATTGTGATGTTTTTTTCACCATCTTTATCACAGACTTCAAATATAATATGCTTCATATTGAAGTACACCGAATGTTTACATTTGCGTAAATGTTATTCAAAAAAGACACATAAAAAGCGATGATGATTTATATCAAACAAAATAGTAATTTAGAAAGTCTAAAATACTTTTGCATAGACCCACCTGTTTTTGGAAGATATTTGTCAAGTCTTCTGCACAGATCGCCAAAATACTTTTCAAAGGGATACTTTCCCGAGATATCAATATATACCTGTGTGCCTAACATAAGGCCTAGCCAACTATCAGGTTTGTAGTCTGGTTGAGCGCGTAGAAAAATTAATGGTTTACCCAATTTAAATGCATATTCTATTTCTAAAAGGAAATACAGCCTTTATAATAAGAGGAAATATTTTAATGTGTGCATAAAAATTTAAAAAATAAGATACGTTAATGAATAACTGTACCTCAGGACTTGAGATACTGATTTGAAAATGTTGTGGAAGTTAAATATGAAATATAGAATATCAGGAGCCTTCATTATTACTTATTATTACACCATTAAGTTCCGAGTGGGATGTAGGGCTTCACCAGCAGACCTCTATTTAATTCTGTTCTCTGTAACCTTCTATAGCTGGCTCAACGATTGTCCATAAGATTTCACCTCCATCTTACACTATCTCATTCATGTCACTCTTAGTCGGCCAACTCGTCATTTCTCACTACAGCTCCACTCGAAGTTCAGGCTTGTGATATCAGTCAATGATCTCCTCAGAGTATTTCCAATCTATCTACATTTCCTTCTAGACATTTTCTGGGTAACAAATTCTTGGCTAGTTCAGTTCCAGAGTCTCTGGATGCTTATCCTATGCAGCTGGTCATTTGATCTTAAGTATGAAGAGAATGCAGCTGTTAATGAAAGCCTGAAGCTTATTAAAAATGCTTTAGGTGACTCGCTCATCAAGTCGCTGAACTATGCACGGGAACTGACTTAACATAATCACTGAAAACTTGAAGCCCATTCTTCACTCTGACTGCAGCAGATCTACACACTGATTCCAGAGTAGTAAGGATCTGTCTTGCTTCTTCAGTTCATTCTAACTTTGACTTGCCCACATTTGCCACCTGTATTTGAAATGATTTTCTGGTTTGTATCAGTCAAAAAGTAAATAAAAAAATCACTTTCTTTTATTCGCCTCACTCATTTATCAGCAATCAACAATATTTGAGACTAAACTCGTACGTTAAAATAAAGAAGCTCCTAAGACGTTCACCCTTTGAATCATGACCTCTGTACTCACCAATGAAACTTCCTCGAACAGCTTGCAACCAACCAACCACGCATGTGATCCAGACTCGATATCCCGCTGACGTACTCCTAAACCTCGCTTAAAAGGTATTAATCCTGGAAAAGAGGGTAGTTTAGACGTGCGGCTAGCAACTTCATTCCGTAAAAAAGCAAGGCGTTCGAAGTGAATACGGGAGTAAGACAAGGCTGCTTATCACCACCGATGATATTTCTGAGCTTAGTGGACAGGATCATTCATCATACTTTGGGGAGTGCGAATACAGGAACACGCTGGACCATTGAGAACAATCTAGCAGATCTGGATTTCGCAGATGATATGTATCTAACATCATATAAATTCGAAAACTTACAGGCGAAAACTAACAAACTGGCTGAAGAAGCAGAGAAGACAAGACTCTACGTGAACATACAGAAGACAGAGGTGGTGGAGACAACCAACCAAACAACAGCAGTAACAATAAAAACAACAACCATCACCAATCACTATCAATGGGAGAAACTTGAAAGAGGTGACCTCCTTCACTTATCTAGGAAGCGCGCTTTCAACCACAAGCCAGTGGAACAGATGAGGATGTCAAAGCTGGCCGGAATCTGAAAGTCAAGACACGCCCTCATCAGTATGAAATCAGGAAATCTTCTGCTGTTACTCAGCCAGCATACACAACAAGATTCGGATTTCCAACACAAGTTTCAAGTCAGTCACTTCTTCTATATGCGTCAGAAAATTAAACTGCACGTTACGAAAAGCATTCCCAATAGGTTGCAGAATTTTATCAACAGCTCTCCTCGCTCCACATTGAAGACTAAATGGCCGGAAAGAATTAGTAACAAGAAACTCTGACTGGTAACAAACCAACCAAGAGCCATTCACCCAAAAAACAATTTAGAAGAAAATGGAGATGGATCAGATGCAGAATTAGAAGACCATTGAATGACATCACGTGCCAGTCCATCACTCGAGTGGAACCCGAATGGGAAGCAAAATGTTGGTCGACCGATGGTGATATAGGGGAGATCGTGTGGCAAGGAGTAAATGAGAGATTACGGGCTATCCTCAACCCAGCTGAAGATGACTGCAGAAAATACAAGAAAGTGGAGATGTGTTATTGAAGCCTTGTGTTCCCCTCAGAACCCAAGGGAATACTGGTAATAGTAATTCTAGTGGTTTCTGTAAACACACACACAGATAAGAAACTATAATTCTTCTATTGACTAGTCATGTATATAATAATAACACCGTATAACCTTTTCATTTACACTGTATACATAGTTCCATTCTTCACATTGAGTTGTCACTCACCACGTTTTGTATAAGGACTTCTTTTATAATTCTCAGAAAACAGGACACATACAACATAGGCTTTTTCCACTGCTTCAGCCATACCATCTAGTATATTATCAGTATTTTTCATATCCTCTGCATCAATCCACACCTGAAGAAGAAGCAGAAGAAGAAAAAGAAAACACTGGTTCATCAGAAATGAGGGAGAAATCTTGTTTTTTTCTCAAAATTAACTCCATTCATCTCTGTATTTACACATAGATGCATGTAAATAGATTATATAGGCACCTTTAGGGGGAGTTGACTTTATGCAAAAGACAGTGGCTATGCCTATTGAAAATGCAGTTTTGAAACATGTTTTATTGATTTAGATTGTGGAAATTATTCTATAGAGAACTGAATATTGGTAACGGGTTAAGTAATAGATCTTGGCAATCTTTTTGAATATCAGATCAGAGTAAGGTTGTCATACATATATGCATATATACTGTCTGTCTGTCTGTTTTCAACATAGAACTTTGCACCGATGTGCAGCAGTTCAAGTTGCCACACTCCATATAGCACACAAAGCAAGAGAAGAAAGTAGAAGAAATGCAAAATAGAGACAGTAGACAGGGATATGAGACAAAAGGAATAGTAATAACGAAGAGCAATTTAGTTTCACTGGAAATTATAAGTTACAAGGAGTGGATGCATCTGCGCCATTGAGAACAATTTTGAGCCACAGCACCCATTATCTCGAGCCATTGATTTTTACAGTCCCGAGGACCCCAACTAGACGGCAGTCTACACTTTCCTATGTGGCTTAAACTAACTATTTTGGATTTCACTGACAGGTGTCATGTTTTGGTTTCACCGCCGCTAATTCTTTTCTTGCCTAAGCCTTTGTCACCTAACATTGCCCGTCGAGGAAGGCGATGGCTAGGCATGCGTAACATATATCCTAACCATCTCAGTCTATGTAACTTCACAGCCTCGTCGATTGATTTCCCCTCCTTACCCAGCACTCGACGCCTAACCTCAATATTGCTCACCCTATTATACCACTTCACATGAGAGATAGAACACAGGCACCTATGATCAAAGACAGTTAGCCTTTTCATGTAAGATGTAACAGTTATTTCCAGAAGCATTGTCACTAATCATGTAACATTCATTAGTGACTTCGACCTATCAGTCAGTTCTGGAACTATTTACTGATTGTACGATTGTACGAACGTACGTACGTACTTACGAACAGCTTTTGAAAATCTTTGGTCTAAAAGAAAATTTTCTTTGGTGAAATATGTTTTGTCAGTTTGCACCATACGTCTTAAGTAGTACACTTTGAAAATTAGAATTCTACAGTCAGGTGTATACAATTGTATAAATACTACTATTCTCACTTGATAAATCCATAAAACGTGTATATCTGACAGTGTTATTTCTTATAAATAAAAACCTTACAGATCTCACAATTTGTCAGTTGATGCAATAATAAAAATGTTATATAATGTACGGTAAAATATCAACGAAAACAAACATGTACAGAAATATATTTCCGGATTAAAAGAATTCAATGAATTTTGAATTTTCTTATATCAACTTCTCGGATTTATGCTAACTCTAATTTTGTTTACATTACTGGAGTGATGCAAGTCACGCTGATGCACTTCTCTGTGAAGTTCTATACTGGTACACTCGTTACATTCTAATCTGTTTGACTGCATCACTTAAAATAGCTTCCACAAATCTTTATGGCATAAAATGAAAAGAGGTGAATCTGAAACGGTTTACATTTTCTCAATTTCATGTGTCATCTTTGTGTAGTAGTGTTGACTCATTTATCTATGAAATACCTAATAGAAGCAAACAGTTACATATAAAATGGTCAAAATAATTTTCCTTACAGAGCTTAGCGTACTAAATATGTTTTAAAAATCGACTTATCTACAAGTATCTCGTGTTTGTTTTGCTTTTTAAATATCGAAGGATTTTTAAAATGAGCAAAGTATTGGTTTGGTGAAGGAGATAGAATTGAATTTCTACTTACCTTGTAACCTTTTTCTTTCAAATGCTTAATCAATTCTACGGCCATATCCTTCTCCTTATGACTATAGCTAACCATAATATGTTCATCAGGTGAAGCAACGGAATTTACTTTGGGCACAGATTTTACTGAAATGTCATCTAGAATACAGACAAGGTGAAACATCAGAAATAATATTTTAGTGTATTTTCTGTGGTAAATATTACACTGTAGTTTCCATTAGACCTAAATAGCACCTCCATATAGTAGTGAAATTTGTTTTCATGATCGCATGAGTTCACTATTAAGTGTGGATTGGTAAACATTTAGGAACTTAAACAGATATATACAAAACAAAATCCAGGTAACTAAGACATCAGTACTCAATGTGTTTATAAGTTCACTTGCTTCTGTCGAGCTAGTTGTATTGGCTGCACGAAGCTCATATTTTCCAAGCACATCTCTGAGAAATTATCTGGTATTCTTATCAAGAGGACAGTGCAAGTTAACGACTAGCTGTATTATAACATATTCATTGAACACAAGTCACAGTGATCCAATAAAGACCTGTTTTAAAATTATCTACAAGATAAGGCTGAATAGTGAAAGGAGTGTTATGTTTCGATTCGCCAGTATAACTCCAATGTATGTGTGTGGGAGAAATTATTCTGGTCTGTAATTCTACCAGAGTTTTTAACTCCTTCCTACTTTGTTGCTTCTGGTTTTAGTAAGTAATTTGCTGTTATCTCTCTAATATTTTTTTTGCGTTTAGTTAGTTTTTTTAATCTTCTTCACTCTTGTCAAGTGGACACTCAGCTATCTCACCTCTTATCAAATAACAGTTTTTGCCTCATCCAATTTTAAACCCTTACTTCCATTGTGTCGCTGACTATTATGCAACCTCCTTAGAAACCACTTTTGAGTTATATTATAAATTATTTCAGACAACCCTACTGCTCAATAATAGACTGCTTTACGACTTGAGTAAATGTAAATACGATTGTACAGCTCTCGAAGATGACTTCATCGATAAAGAAAGTGCTCTGCACCGAATCGCCTTTTATTTTGTTCATGACTACAAGGTATTTCCCATCTATTTATGTCACAAAATTCGCTACTAGATGGATTTTAGTTGGGCTTAACCCTCGTATTTGTTAAAGCCTTTAAAATGATAGGTTTCGACACGGTGTTTTCAGTTAGTACCTGGCTCTGTGTAAATGCACCACTACAATATTTCAGAATAAGAGATAAGAAAATCTGTTCAGACTTTAGAAAAGCAATAGAAAGCATTTCATCTAAAAGAAAAGCTTTCAGTTAAAATAATTAACAAAACCAGAAACATTCCTCTGACATTAAACAGTATTTTTTGACTATCATAAAATTTTGTTTTTATTGGTTAATTTGTAGGAACTTGATTTGTTTCAAGCTTGGCCACGGATTGATATAAGTATTGGACAGCTGTTGAGTCCTATTACTTGGGACTCATCATCAGTAAGCACCTAAGGGGTTCTAACACAGTACCTTACGGTAACTAGACAAGCTTGTAGACCACTCAGCCACTGGGACCAATTGGGTGCATACAGCAGGACGCAAGCAAAAACACTTACTGATAACATTGTTTGGTGGTTGCGCTAAAATCACAGATTGGTAGTTCATGCCTGGCCACTGAGTCAAGTCCTAGTGGCTGAATAGTCGACGAGTTTGCCTTGTAACCGGAAGGTCCTGTGTTCGAACTCCAGTGGGTGCGTAGTACCAATGAGTCCCCAAATGGAACGAAGCAGCTTTCTAGTACTCCTTGGTTTTCAGTGATTCTATAACTAACATCAATCCGTGGTCAAAACTAATTTTGTTCAAATTTTTCGTTTCACTAAAATTAATTATAAGTAAACAAATAAAAGTTTATGCAATGAATAGCAGTTCTGTTTTACTACTCTATTTTTTTAACTTTGAGGTATATAAAATAGACCAGTTAGTCACTGGTTAATTTCTATACTCCACCTAAGATTTCTTAAAGAATGATAGTCACTTGGCAATTAACTTATCACTACAATATGCCAACAACCTCCCAGAAAACATTCCCCTCTTAAGCTAGTGCCATAGTGCAGCTGATACTAATTTTGTCGACGAATCACCGAAATAACTTCTAATATCCTCCTGAATGGAGATGACTGTATCAAGATGATCTTGAGCATTAATTGATATTCCTTTTCCTTGCTTCGAGAATTTAAAAGACATTATAAATATACTTTGTAGTTTGACCATATGATAGAGAAGATTTGTAGCTCAGGTGGATAATTTTGATGTTGTTGTGTTCTCTGAGCTGGAGAGTTAATTTGCGAAGCTTTCATCACCCTACTGCGCTGAAGATGTCACCCAGTAGGGTGATGAAAGCTTCGCAAATTAACTCTCCAGCTCAGAGAACACAACAACATCAAAAGTTTGACCATATTTGTAGTTAGCTGATCTCCTGGAATTTTTATATTGTGAAAGTGACTAATCACAAATCTAGGCTAAAAATGTTTTCTCTTCGCTCAGTTGGCATTTGAGTCAGTGTATACACCGAAAACTAGATATCACAATATGTGTTATTGGTGAGTTACTAAGTTATGCAAGTACTTTTGCAAGTAACAATTACTTTATTATTTTACAGAGACGTAGCCACGTGTAAGGTGATCCATAACGCAAAACTCAGCGGAGCCATTGAAGTGAAGACAGTGGTAAGACAAGGTTACCTATCACCTCCAGTAATATTCCTGAATATAATGGACTGGACCATTGAAAAGAATCTCGAAGTTCTGGATTTTGCAGATGATTTATATCTAATATCACACAAACTGTCTGAAAAGGCCGGAAGCAAAGACATAACGTCAAGTGAACATAGAGAAGACAGAAATGACAAGGACGACCAACCAACAACGATAACAAACAGCACCAATCAATACCAACGGGACAAACTTGAAAAAGGTAACTTCCTTTGCTTCTCCAGGAAGCATTGTTTCAGTTACAGTCAGTGACACGGATGATTATTTCAAAGACAGCCAGAATGGGAAGGGCGAAATACGTCTTCATCAATCTGAAATCACTGAAAATCTTCTGCACTCTGCAGCACAAACAACGAGATTCGGATTTTCAGCACAAGTGCCAAGTGAGTCACTTCTTCTATGTCGGTGAGAAACATGGCACATCACGTAAAGCACTTTCAACAGGTTTCAGAATTTTATCAACAGTTATCTTTGCTCCACATTGAAGACTAAAGAAAGAATTAACAACAAGAAATTCTGGCTGGCAACAAACCAACCAAGACCCGATTGCTCGACAAACATTTAGAAGAAAATGGAAATGGATCAGACGCAGAGTTAGGAGACCATTAAATGACATCGCGCTCCAAGTCCTCGAGTGGAATCCAAATGGGGACCATCGAGTGGGTCATCCGAGGGCTATATGAATGAAATCGTACGAGGAGGAGATGAGAGATTGTGGGCAATCGTAGACCCAGCTGAAGAGGACGGCAGAGAATAGAACAAAGTGGAGATGTGTTACTGACTCCCTATGTTCCAAATGGAATCCAAGAGAACAATAATAATATATCATTATTTTACGAAAAACGTCTTGGCCTGTTTTTGAGTCTGTACAGGTAAGTTGAAAAGACCCTCATCGTCGCTCTCATAATCTTTGTCTTCCTTGATTTTCATATTATTCCGCATTTGAGTGTATTAGTCAGCAGGATTGCCTTTTGCTAATCGTTGATAACTATTGAGTAAGTCCAAAGTTTGTATTCAGAAAATACCTACGGTTTACTGAGCGAATGTAGTTTAATGTGAAAGTAATTAGGTGGCTCGTATAACCACAGTGAAATAACCCTTATGTATAAGACAATGCACACATTATGTACCATTGTAAACTAACCTTCGTTTAGCTGCCATAAAAGCCCATAAATTGCTTTCAGCGATTCTATAGAATACTCAGACTGCTTTTGTTTCATAGACACAGCTAGATTTTTTATGTCATCTTTAAATTCTTTGTTTATTTCATTTTTAATGCCAGGACTGAATGATAAAATCCACAGGATGAGTATAGTTTCTTCTAATGCTTTCCCTTTGAAAGAATTCAGAAACAGTTTCAAGTATTGCAGGACTGTATAATAGGATGAGGACTCCAGGTTTTTTTCATTTGATGCCAGAAGCCTTAAACCTTTAAAATATTTTTTGGAAAAAGAGATATCGCAAAAGTTATTTTTAGCATTCCTGGAGTACAAAAATGATATATGTGCCTATGATATTACACATTCTTAAAATAACGACATATCAATAATTGTAACTGTGATTTGTTTATCACTGGTGCTGCTGTTTCAGACCGTCCAGTAAATATTGGTGACTGTCTTAAATTAAACTCACTGCAGTGAAGAAAGCTAAAGGTCACAATCTAAATAATTAAGATGGTTGTGTGCACTGCAGCTTTAATACACACAGACGGAAACTTTATATAATGATGTTGAGTGGCTGCAGATAGAAAAGGGCAGAAAGACATAAAAGTATTAGTTTTAATTCGTGGTAAAGAGTTACCGAAAAGTTCATCTTAATTTCACAGTACTACTGCTCAGAAATATGAGCAACCCATTTTTCAGGAGGAACATCTGAAGTTAATCTAAGTGATAACTGGAAGCAGCGGTCTCAATAGTTCTAACTTACCCTTACATTCATAAAAATATATCTGTATAAATTGCAGAAGAATTTCAAACCAGTTTGTTGTTAGACAAAACATTGGAATGATTTTTAACAGTTTTGCTGAGATATGTAAAAATATAATTTGTACGTTTATCCATATTTTACTCGGAGCTCAATGTTTTTGGAAGGATTCAATCAAATCTTGATCAGAGTTCATATAGATTAGTTTGTACCTATACAATAGCTATTATAAATTCCTACCCAGAGATAAGAAATCAGACTGTAACCAGCAGAGTTCGCACTGTCACATTCTGTACATGTGACATAGATGTTGTGGTACTATAGTCGATAAACATACTTGAAAGAAGGTAATTTGATGAAGATTCGTAATGTTAATAATTTTAAAAGAGAATTTGGGCTTTCTAATTAAAGCCTTTGGGATAACTAAGGCTAGGATTTCACGAGTTCAGATAAAGTAACACTGTAACCTGAATAATCTAAAGGAAAAATTGAATTTTACAAGGAAATGCATCATCTCACGTTGCTATACCTGGAGAAAGTACACGTATAAGTAATTAAAACGAATTTAACAAAACTCTGATGGGAAAAGATACCTGAGGAACAAGAGTATCAGATGAAAATTTTCAGGATTTCACATATGATAACGAGTGAATGTATTTGCGCTGCTAGTTTTCAGTTATGTCACAAAGAGTTCACGACTACTGACTCTGGATATTCCAAGGACCGAAGCCGTGCAAACTACACATATCTTCATTTCACTTAGCTCATGTTGTTTTTTGACTTAAAAAATTCTCTACAGTGTGACATTTATCCATTAGCTTTTGCTTGTGAGGGATCGATATGAAAAAAGAAAACTTAGACCTGAATTAACTTGTTTCAGGTCTTGTTAGATTTTGTATCCGTGCACATATGTGTTCGTATGTATTGTATGTTTGTAGAGGACCAAAGAAGTTCGTCAAATCTATCAAGCCTTCAACTACCAATTCGTTTATCTGTGTGGACTGAAACACGGTGTAGACAATTGGATTTTTAAAGGATGAGAGCTTGGAAGCTTCGCTGGGGTGCGATTGTATATCTCAATAGTCTACTCATATCATCAGTAATAACACAGCTTTCTACAGCCGTAAGTGTTATGTTGTCCTTTAGCTTACTGGAGCGGTGTTAAGGCCACCAGGTTAGGTGAGCTAGGCTGAAGAGTCAGCAGGTAGTGTGGCTAGCTAACATCAATCATGGGCGTTATTTCCAGTTGAAGCCACTTGGAAGCGAGCTCAAATGAACTGGTTCCTCAGATACTATACATAACTACTAAGATATTAAGCTAAGTGGTATATCTTTCAATATTTTGTGCTCATTAAAACTACGTAATAAGTTCATAAGACCAAATATGCTGTACCCAGAAATGCCTCCGAGAAATCATGAATTCTCATAAATAAAAAACCACAAACACGCCTCAAAAAATCTAAGATTATTTTGGATTTTCCTGCCAATCCCAACGTCATTAAAACTTGAAAATGTCTGTAGGCAATCAGGAGACAGTAATTGTTCATAACCTCTGAATAAACGGAAACACCAAAAAATAAAACGCCGTTTGTATGACTGCGTGCACAACGATTACAACATTAAAAATTTGGACAAATACTTCCGCCCCTATTTCAGCATTTCAGTAAGCACGAATCATAAACTACAATTTGCTGAATTCTTCTAAGGTGTGCGAATCGATTCTCAAAGAAAATGTCATTTTTGCCTTATCAGAACAATTCTTTCTATGAGAAAAAAGACATTCAGTAATTTAACCACGTACCAACCGGTACGATGACACTTCACCAGTTGAAAAGTAACCTTTTTAAATTGACGCATCAATAATTATTCTGTATATTATGAATAAACAAAAACGTCTGGTGTCAAATCAAATATAAGGTTATTTGCCAGTTTTTTGAGAAAACTGATCATTGGGTGAAGAACTTCAGGATTCGCTAGTGCCGTACCTATTACGTTGGCTGATGCAGAATTATAACCTTTCTGATGAATCACTTATTTTCCTACACATGGTTACATATTTGTCAGACGCACGTGTGTGTATAGCTATTAACTACCATTAAAAGTAAGGAATTTCAAAATAAACCAATGTAAAGTGTAGCTCTTACTCACAGATATGTCTGCACTCCACACACTATTGACAGAAAAGAAGACCACCGCATTCACGCTTTTTAACAAAATAAAATTCAAACATACCGGTATTATCAACACGTTATTTTAAAGATCCCATAGTTGTGTTGGTGGTAGTAATTCACAACCCATATTTTGCTGTCAAATTAAACAGCTGACAATCTTTTACAGGGAATGTCTGTCTATTCTGTCCTTCTTATGGTTAGGTTAGAAGGTGTACACAGCCAGCTTATAAACTTTAAAAGTAAGAGAGTCTTTAGTATAATTAGCTTGAGTGAATGAAATTTGCATGTTTACAGCAATCACGAATATCTTGGTAAACCACATTACCATTTCACTACTGAAAGAGTTCTACTCAAGCCTTTTTATTTTAAATCAAAACTGAGGAGCACCTGATAAAAAAGTAATAGTATGCGACCATCAGACGCAATTAGCAAGTAAAACAAAGGCTATATGATTAATAACAATAAAGATAGTGTATGATATTTTAAATTGTAATGGTTTCTTCACCCAAGCGTATAAATGGAACCTGAATTTTCGTTCTTTTTGGAAATGGTTCTGCCATTCAGGAAAAATCTTGGATTCAAGATATATATAATTCAACTAATTAATGTCTCATTTGTTGTTACTAATCTGAAATTTACCGACGAAAGTAAAAAGCTCTCATTCTCCACAACTTAGTTCAATGGAAAGAATAAATTGGTACCTAAAATAATGAGTTGGAATGGGTTAATTAGGTAGACGTAATAAAATAGTAAATGAAGTGACATACTTGTAGTGTATGCTGACAAACACGAAGTACACTGATAATATTTACCTTTAAGGATTTCTTCACATTTGTATCCATGCACTCTGTCTGAATGTACTGTAATGTTTGGCAGTAGAGAAAAGGTGAAAAACTCTACTACATGTGTACTTTGATCATCCTCTCCGTAAATATATGTCAAGAACATGTAGGATGCAATCTAGAAAAATATCAACTTAGAAAGCCTCATACTTGCAGATCCTTATTTTTACTAAAAGTAAAACTTAATACTAAGTCAGTCAAATGCAGATTTCGGAAAGCATTCACTACAAGAATGCTATCGTGACATGAGAAGTTGTACAAACTCTTTATGATCACTTCAGCTATGAATGTGATTTTCTAGAGGAAAAAGTTAGAATTTAAATTCCTCACTCTCTCCAACTCGCTCCCAATATACTTTGCGCAGAATGATAATATGCGCGATATTTCCCCCATATAAGCTTTTTGAACACACATCGCTTCTGCTAAGCTTATGCTCAACTCAACGTAGTTGCATAGTGTTGACTGCAGACTTGCTAGGAGAGTAACATACTTTTCATCTATTGATGGACGTCCTTCGTGTTGGGGACAAAGAGCCAGATTTCCCAAGTCCACAAATATCTTAGCTACTCCACAAGCGTACTTTTCACTGGACAACACGTTGCATGCAATCCATAGCCTATAACTATCTGCAACGTGTTTTGGACTTTCAACGGCGAAGTAGCTCTTAACAAAAAGTTTTGTCAATTCTTTGAACTCATCAGATGCATAGTCAGCTCTTGATGAATATTTTAACATGTGATCAAGTATTCTAACTGTTGCATCTATAGCACTTTCTACAGTAGTTTCCATTAATCAACGTGCTGTGAGCTAAACATTAGATTTAAAAGTGCACGATTCCAAATTCTTCCCTTCTCAATATTCTTCATTTACGGTATTGTTTGAATAAACATTTCAATTCAACGATTTTATGACACTGAATATCTGTTAAGAAAATCTTCACTCAGCACAAGAGAATGCTGGGGACGAATTGTGATAACTACTTACACTTTTCGAATATTGAGCGTTTACTTCATTCCCTACTTTTCAGTATCCAATTCATTTGTGATAAATAAATACACCTAGTTGTGTTAGTATGTCGTTACTCTTACAATAAATGGGAGTACTGTAGTTCGATGTTTGCAGAAGGTAGCAAAAAGAAATATGCTCTAGTCAGGTAAATGTTTTATCCAATATCCAATATCATGATTTTTTGATAATCGCTTCTTGTTATTTCCAGATGGTTCTGGTTTTTGGCAGATTTCAGCGCAGTCATTCGGGCTTTTCCAATGATTTGGTGTTGTATCCGTAGTCCTTGAGTGGCGGCGTCCGGCTTAGATTTTGGCCACCGAATAATCACATCGATATTTCACAGGTATTTTCCCCCGTTCACTTTGCTAAAATCTGAAAGAATGTGGTCTTCAATTACTTCTTATACCCTGGCGAGAATTAATGTGCTTACGACTTACTGATTCGAAAGTTTCTAGGTATTGTGCGAGAAAGCAATCATGGGTTGGGATGTATTGCAATGCAAGAGATAGCTGTTCTTGGGTTGTTTCCTTGGTTCACAGGATGGATTCCTGAAACTTTTCTAATCGCTATTCAACCAAATAACATGCATTTACCAAAGAATACAGTGGAGAGACATCATAATTCCTTTTTTGGTGTTTCACGCCAAGCAGAAGTGTCACACGTGGTCTATCGTCAAGTGATCCTGGATTAAGATAAAATATCATGCAATAAACTATGCTGAAAAATTTGCACAGAATGTAAACGCAATGCAAAATAAAGCTATTATTGTTTCAGTCACCGCATTATTTATTTATATATTACCACTTGGGTTCCGATTGGAACATAGAACTTCAACGACACATCTCCACTTCGTCCTATTTTCTGCTGTCCTCTTCATCTGTGCCAATGATTGTTTTCAGCTTCTCATCCCCTCTACTCTACCGAACTCCTCCATGTCACTGTCGAACGATGAAGACTGCTAGTGTTCAAGCAGTCTTCACATTAATTCTCAGTCAACGCTACTGAAGGCCTCTTCGAAGTCCATGAAGCTAAGGTGGAGGTTTGACTGCCATTGAATGCTGTGTGCAATGACGACGCGTAGAGTTGCAATTTGATCAGCACATGGTTTGCCTTTCCTGAATCCGGCTCGTTCTGGCTGGCGGAGTTCTCCACGCAGTGCATCTTTCGTTCTCTTCAGGGTGATGTGACTAAGTATTTTACTTGACGTGGACAAGAGCATGATTCCACGTAAGTTTCTGCAGAGTGAGGCGTAAGTCACCCTTGTATGGCAGCTTGACGGGGTAGTCAGTCTTTCTTCCAATCGATAGTTACCTTTCCTTCTTTCCAAAGCTTTTGAAATAATGGCGTCAGCATATGTGCTGCAGTCTCTGCGTTAGTTTTCAGTGCTACGGTAGGAATTCCGTCTGGCCCTGCTGCCTACCCGGCTGTCCTTCAGTAACTTGATCGCATTCAGGGGTTCTGATTTCGTTGGAGGTTTGGCCCCCACTGGCAGGCAGTTCTGTGCATGCTGTTGATGGCGGTGTATTTCTGGGCGAGTCCCAGGTGATGGTCGATTCAAGATTCCTTTGAAGTGATTAGTTATTGTTTTATTCATTCCTTCTCCTTCATAATCAGGTTCCCTTGAGCATCTTTTACCGGTTTTATCATCTGGGTTGATCATTTCCCGGATATAGACCTGGTTGTTTGATATAATGTCTTGAGGTCTCTTTTAACTGCAGTCTACTTGCTTGTTGTGCTTCTCTTGCCAGCCAGTGTGTCGTAGAATTGTTTTTGTCTTTCCCAGTGGTCTTCTTGTTCACTACTTTATTCAGTGCGGTGTAAATTGAACTCAGCTTCTCCTTCTGTCGCCCATCTTTGCATATATTGCATATATTTTCATAGAAAGCGTCATAGTTTTCCATGGTAAGACCAATATGGTTATCATCATACATTGCAAATGTGTATTATCATTTCAAGTAGTACATAGCTTCTTGTATTTATCTTGTTAATATACTTTTAATAATGTATTATTCATAATTGCATTCTATACCATTTTGCAGCTGCGCCAGATATTCTTCAGTTCCCAAGATAGCATCCAAGCATTTGAAGACATAGCACTCACACAAATATATGTTGTTTATCGACTGGTCATAACTATCATCAGGAAATGGAACGAATTTCGGGTTGTCGCTCAACTTCGATGTTGACCTTCGTGATATGTTTACAAATTAACATTTATAAGAATCTATTCTGATTGCTTGTACTATAACCCAACAATATGAACTTTTTGAAAAAGTGATAGTGTATGCTAATTAACAATTGTAATTCGTAACATAATTGATCGTGCCTGTAAAAATGGCATGCATTTCATGTAAACTTACCCGTTTATACGAAATACGAAATATATATTATTATTATTGAGTCATCACTATTCTCTTTCACCACCCTTCTCTCTTTGATTAGCTTCCAGGTATCCGTTGACAGCCATTCCTTGTCTTGTCTCCTCCCTCTTTTTAGAATAGTTGTACACGTTTCCTTAAATATCACTTTCAGAGAGTTACAATGTTCTTCCACAAAGGTTTCCTCAGTGATACCACTTACTGTCTCCTACTTTGCACTGATCTGATCCGTAGTGAAGGCATCCCATGTAGTTTTGTCCTTCAGTTTCTGAATGTTAAACTTGAATTGAGGCCTGTTTCCAGTTGTTTTGAAAGATTTCAGCTTCACCTTGAAGGTTCCTAGAACTATATGATGGTCTGAGCCCACATATGATCCCTTTCTCGACTTTGTGCTCAGCAGACTAGCTGCGTCTCCACTTAATTCAGAACCATTGCGATGGTGTATTTCTGGGTTTTAGTTTGTCCGCCAGGCGAGATTTCTGTTGCCTTGTGTATATCCTTTTGCTTGTACATGCTGCCTTCAATCACCAAATCATTGAAAGCAAAGAAGTCTGCGCATAATTCCACGTTCTCATCCATCTCTCGACCCATAATGAGTTCTCTTCACGTATTTTTTACTCCCAGTTTGGTATTCACATCACCAAAAAGGATTTTGACGTCACCATCCGGGATGTTGTCCATTAGTTTCTGTAGGTGTTTATAAAAATCATTCTTCTTATGCTGTCACGCGTCGTCTCTAGGTACTTAGCATTGGATAATTATAAAGTTCACTTATTTCCAGTTGAATCTTGCCCTCATTATTCTGGAGGAATGGGTTCCCACTGCAATAGAGCTTTCGATGCTATTGGTGACGTCACGAAAGCCACTCACTGCCTCAGGGTGCTCGTGGTTATCGTCTGGGTGACCAGACTGGAGTAGATTACTGACACCCCAGCTAATAATTCTGATAGTTCACATACGTTCTATCTGCTCTTGCATATTCCCAGCGCTTCTATACCATATTTTCCCATTTATTTTGGCTGCCTGGGCAGCCTTCTTAACCCCGTCCATTGTGCAGCCAATCCACGTCCTCGTTCTTATTCTTGCTTTCATCGGGAGAAGACACACCGGCTGACTAAATTCCAGAAGGCTTTCACTAGCCCGCAATATTTCGCCTCTCCTTCTCCAGAGAAGAATAAGTTCGTTTTCTATATTTTTTGTGTTATAATACACTTATTGTGCTTTGAAGTCTGTAGCTGTTTGATCTGTTTCGTAATCACTGTACTAGGCTTGAATCAGTTGGAAACCCAGTAGAAGCTTTCGGTCCGTATTCAGACAGTTTTGGGACATATAATATATGATCTGACAGCTTTTGGTACTTGTGTTTCGATGATTCGGTCGGCGGACTATAAAAAATTCATGTCATGCTATTTTTCTGGAAGTGTTTCACAGCAACAACCTATATGAATGTTATGGAACGGTTAACCAAAGGAGTTATCGGATGGGAAACTGTGATGTCTTTACATGCTATTTGTTGTCCGTTTTGCGTTGCAGTTTGATGCGTATACGTGGTATGGCTTTCTAAGTAAGGCGAGATTTTCCACGCACTAAAGTCGAAGTGTTTTTATTGGTATTTATCTGGATGGGGGTTTTATTGAGTGACAACTAGTCCCGACTATACCATTTTTTTATTATTTTTTGTTACGGCTTGATTCTACACTGATTCAACGCTGAAACAAATCACTACAGTTCATTTCACTTACTCTAATATTAACCAAGCCGTTAATACTCTTAAAAACTCTAGTAGTGCCGGTTTTGACGGTATACCATCGTATCTTTATAAACACGGTGGTTCTGACATTTCCGTTTTATTACTTAAGATTTTTACAATGTCCCTAGAAAGCCAAACCTATCCAGATAAATGGAAAACGACATTTATAGTACCTAAACACAAATCCGGATCAAAAACTGAAGTCAACAACTATAGGCCAATCAATATTACACCCATAGTGTCTAGAATCATTGAACGAATAGTTAAAGATGATATCCTCAAACAAATGCTCAGCTGCAATATTCTAAGTCCCAACCAACATGGATTCCTAAAATCCAGATCATGCATGACATGTCACGTTGACTTCTTTAACTACATAACTAGCAGCCGCGACAAACAACAACTAGTACTTGTCATCTACTTCGACATATCCAAAGCCTTTGACCGCGTTGACCACTTGCTTCTAATAAATAAGCTAAACTCCTTAGGAATAAGTAACCCATTATTAGGATGGATTGAATCATTCCTTAACAATAGGTCCCAAGTAGTTAGACTGGGTTCTGTAAACTATAAACCTAGTCCAGTCACTTCTGGAGTAGTTCAAGGTAGCGTCTTAGGCCCCCTCCTATTCACTCTATATGTCAACGACATATGCAGCTGTTTCTCACTAGGCAAACCATTCATCTTTGCAGATGATCTTAAAGTAGCTTACACATTCCACTGTGATGACTTAGGGTACTTTCAGAAAGCTGTTCAGGAAGAACTAGATCGAGTAACTGCATGGTCCTCCACATGGAACCTAAAATTCAACCTTAAAAAATGTGGTTGGATCTGTTTCGGTGCACCCTCAATAAATATTAAACTGGTACTTGAATCCATCGA